TCGTCGAAATATTGAGCCAGATGTGAATCTGAAACCTTGTATGGCAGAGGGTGTAAGACTCCTTGCATTGGTATGATTCAGGCGAGAGCGTTGTACTTGGACCTGGGATTTGTGCATGAGACGATTGAAAAAGTCAAGAGGATCCAAGGAAAGATGTGTTTTGCGAGTTACGATAGTAACTGGTGTTGGTCGAGCTTGAGGTCTCGGGAAACACCCACTGTGTTTTGTTAGACTGTCGAACCGCTGTCGCTTGTGGGAATTACAAGATATGTTCATGTGTCTAAACTGAGGAGGTACATTGATTCAGGAGAAATGATTTGACTGTTAAGGTATTGTTGGTTCGGGTTGATGAACGAGAAGCAACTTCGATGTAAAAGGATTCCTTTGGAGAAGGTAATCTGGGGGATTAGGATACGAGAGTCGCATCTAGAATTATTGGAATCAGGTGACATTTTCGAGGACGAAAATTCCTAAAGTGGGGGAGAGTTGTAACAGCCCAATTTCGGTTTAACTAATTAATTTAGTTATTGGAATTATTTTAATTATGGGATAGTGTGATAATATGTTAAGTCTACATATTATGCTACTTTATCATTTGTAGAGTTTTGGAAAGTTTAGTGGGAAATATTTCGGACAGTCTCAATTAATGGTTAAGTGGATGGGTTATGGAAATTGATTGGAATAATAGGTGTATTGGAGGAAATAGAATGGAAAGAAATATAAAGAATAGAAATAGAAAGAAAAGGGAGAAAAAAAGAAAGGGAGGAAAGAAAAGAGAAAGAAAGAAGGAGAAGAGAAAAAGAGGAGAAAGAAGAGGAAACTTCGAAAATCATCAAGATCAACCAGAGCTTGCAATAATCAGGTAAGGGTGTGAAGTATCATCATCTTATTAATGTTTATGGTTATGTATGGATTGTGTTAGTTGTTGGAATGTTTTCCTCATTTTTCCATTTAGGGCATAAATGAGTTAAATCGGTAGAACTGATGTTTATCGGTTAGAATCACGTTTAGATACCGTAGATTAGTCAATATATGTTAGGCTAAGGCTACTGGGAACAAGTTGGGATTTATCGGGAGATTTCATCGGGTGTTTGGATTCTGAACAGAGGGAGAAAGTTCAGTTCGCAGACGCTCGCTAGTAGCTTGCTAGGCGAGCAGGTCGCGAGTGTTCGCTAGCATCTCGCTAGGCGAGTGCGTAGCGAACGGTCCCAGACTTGGGACAGTGGTGTTTTGATCTCCTTCACTGGCAGCGAATGGAGTAGCGAATGGCTCGCTGGGGGTTCGCTGTAGCGAACGAGGTAGCGAACGAAGTCTGTAGCTTCTGTCCTTGCTCGCTAGCAGTTCGCTAGGCGAGAAGGTGGCGAACGTTCGCTAGCAGCTCGCTAGGCGAGCGTGTAGCGAATGTAGCAGAATGAGTCTTCTCTGCTGTTGGGTGCAGTTGTGACTTGGGGTTCCGATTGCGATCGACCCTTCCTAGATTTAGAAGATGGTGTGATGGCTCGTGATGTATTGTGGATAGCCGATAGGCGTGAATCCTAGGTTATGAATTGTAGCCGTTTGGGCAATTTCTTGCATCGTTTAATTCGATTAAAAATGCATAACGATTTGGCATGAATGTTGAGCGTGGCGTGTAGTATGCACTGCGGTGTATGATGTTAGTATATATTTGATCCCGTGTAGGATCTGCAGAACCTCGCTTGATGCGATGGTTATATTTGATCCCGTCTGGATCTGCAGAACCTCGCTTGATGCGATGGTTATATTTGATCCCGTGTAGGATCTGCAGAACCTCGCTTGATGCGATGATTATATTTGATCCCGTGTAGGATCTGCAGAACCTCGCTTGATGCGATGGTTATATTTGATCCCGTGTAGGATCTGCAGAACCTCGCTTGATGCGATGGTTATATTTGATCCCGTGTAGGATCTGCAGAACCTCGCTTGATGCGATGGTTATATTTGATCTCGTGTAGGATCTGCAGAACCTCGCTTGATGCGATGGTTATATTTGATCCCGTGTAGGATCTGCAGAACCTCGCTTGATGCGATGGTTATATTTGATCCCGTGTAGGATATGCAGAACCTCGCTTGATGCGATGGTTATATTTGATCCTGTGTAGGATCTGCAGAACCTCGCTTGATGCGATGGTTATATTTGATTCCTAGGAAAATCTGATGAGTTATAGTGTAACCGCATAAGTGTGAGAGGAGTGAATTCTAAGAGAATCTGACGGATGAATGAGTCGGTACCATGGTTGTAGCTGCATAGGATCGAGGTGTCGGTCTCTATGAGTGAATTATCATCTCCATATGATGAATTGGAAATATTACATTGAGAAGGTATTAGGGTATGTGTATATATATATATATATATTTATTGCGTCTAGTCAATATGAGAATGAGGTCGATGTATATGTAGAGAGATTCTACTCACTAGGGTAGAACGGCGATGCTTCGTTCTTAGTGAGGTAGTTACCGGGGTAGAATGTCCGAGACGTTGTTCCCGGTAGAGCATAAGCGACGTACCCATAGTCCGGAAAAAGGATTGAGGGTAGTGATGAGTCTAATATGAATCGCATGGTATGATCGCGATTGTCATATGTAAATATGCCTATGTGCAGGAATTGATGAGATGCGTTAACAAATAAATAAATGTGAAAGATATTAACCGATGAATAGACGGTTGAGTGTGAGCGTTTATGTCTATGTGTATTTGATGCGGTGAGAATCTATGGTTATGCATTGTAGTGAATAAGTATGAGGTATAGGTATTTAGTACCTATACATTTATATATATATATATATATATATATATATATATATATATATATATATATATATATATATATATATATATATATATATATATATATATATATATATATATATATATATATATATATCTTATGCCTTGATTATTATGATATGTTTCTCACCCTTCTGTTGTTTTATAATGCCCTACGAGGCATTGCAGATTAGGATCCGCTGGAGGTTTCCTTTGGAGTATAGTTCTTTTCCCTCGTGTCGGTCGCTCTGATATGTAACTTTGGGTAGATAGGCTTGTAGAATGTCTTTTGATGTTTTGTTTGTATGTGAATGAAGTTGTGAACAACCAGATGACATGTAATTACGTTTTGTCATGTCTTAAGTGAATATATATATGTTTTAGTCTTCCGCTTTAAGAGAAAACATGAATATGTAATTTCGAAGAATCATGCGTTTATTTTTAGTTGAGATTTACCCCTTTTGAGTTAATTCTTTTTAAAACTTAATATTCATGTGGTCGTTTCGTGGGTATTGTGACGCACTTCTTTTATACCTTAATGTAAATATACTCTGATGAAAAATAAAATACTTATATTCGTGACTATATGATTTGATATGTGATTATTTTGGGGTATAGAATGGGGGCGTTACATTAGAGCCATCAAACAATGGGAGCTCCAATTTTGGGGTACGAAAAGATGGAAGAGGTGTAGCTTGGCGTGTGGGTGGAAAGGAAATAGAGGGAAATTGTGGAAAATTAAAATTTGTGCCGTAGGGCAAAGGAATAGTCTGAGTGACATGGGGTGAATGGAAAGGTCTAGGAATTTGAGTGGGTGTAGAGTGTAGCGCAGCAGTGGCCATGGTAGATAAGTGAGGATAGGGCGAAAAAGAGCCTGAGTTTAATAAATGGGTAAAGGGTTGGTGTGAAATGGGAGAGGTGGCGTGTGAAATAATGGGGCTGGAATGTGTTGTGGGTATTGGGAAAGAGTGAGAAAGGTGAGGGATACCTGAAGAGGACGCTGCTGTAGCTTGAGCAGTAGTATGTGGTGATTTTTCCTTTTGAAGAACCAGTTTGTTGAGCACATCCATGATGTTGTCATACCGAGAATCAGAAATCTGTTTTTCATTGTCCAATCGAGTGTGTATGAGTGCCAGATCTGCAGATGTTTTGTCAAAACGCTCATCTAGTTGTTGCTGCGTTTGATTCATGGCATTGTCAAGATGGATGTGAGCTGTTTGGACAGCTTCATCAATAATGTCTCTAGGGTTTTGGTTTTTTGAGGGAGGGGCCATGAGTGTAAGGGAATGAGAGCACCAATTGATAAAGAGGATTCAACTACTAATTTCTAAATCTAGGGTTTATCATTTACCATACTAAAACAAGAGAAAAACATGAACATAAATAATATAAAATGTCTTTCTTCTTGCCTCTCTCAAAGAGGAACCAAGAATAAATACAAAAGAGTAACTAGAAACTGGGCTATAACAAACAGGCCCAACAAGTGAAATATAATAAATAAACTAATACAGCAGCCTATTTAAGTTCATAGTCCCCCATCCATTTGGGTTGAGTAGTAGTGCGTTTGGGCCTACTAACACTCATTTGTGTACACCATCTATCATAGTATTCTCCTTTTAAACACCGATAAATTTGCAAGAAATTGAATATGGGTTATGCTTTATGTACACAAATGAACCGTGATATCAATTTATGAGAACTGCTTGATTCTAAGGTAATGAACATAAATAAACAAAGATTAAACTAAAGAGATGCAAAACAATTATTTAAACTAATTGCACAAACTATCACTTGTAACCGTTGATAGTTGTTGCAAGTCACTCACTTATAGTTCAAGCAAACTGCTACTAAAAGTGATTTTTTTAAACATACTAAAAAGTGGATGACATACTCAATAATTGACTCCTTCAACATTCAAAATTTTCAGCTATGGCTTTAATTTTCTACAAGGTTGTTGGATCATTCCTGCCCTTATTTTCTTTCTGCAAGGCTAGCTAATCTAAAAACCCATTAGGACTAAGAAAAATCCTATTGTTTGTCATATTGCAAAGAAAAATATTACCTAATTCATATGGTGAATTGTGATGCCCCTAATTTTTTAAAGTTGGACAATACATTTGCCTTCAATACAACAATAAGGATATTATACATAACATTTTACTTATGTCAATTTTCATGGCTTTCTCTCTACATTGCATCTTAACAACCACACAAATTACAGTATTTCAGACGATAAATGAGTTGGAGATGTTGAAGGAGAAGACAAAAAGGGTTTGGGTGGCATTTCCAACACTTGAAGGCTCCCTTCCAACATTTCCACCACTTTATGCATCGATGGTCGATTCGAAGGGTTGGTTTGTATGCACCATAAACTCACCACTGTCATTTTCCTTACCAATTCTTCATCAATTTCATTTTTAATACACCTAAGTCCAAGATCCTGATTCAATTCAAGGCGCTTATAAATCCAATGTGGAAAGTATAGCTCGCTAGAACAATCAACTTCAACCTTAATATTCTTTCTTCGACCAACCATCTCTAACACCATCATTCCATAGCTGTAGACGTCTGATTTATGTGACACGCCACCAAAGTTTCTGGAAAACAACTCAGGAGCAATATATCCCGGCGTTCCCCTCGCACCAAATATGGATACAATGCTTTCTTTTTTTGGACATATTTTAGCAAGTCCAAAATCAGAAATCTTTGGACAAAAATCCTCATCCAGTAATATATTATGAGGTTTTATGTCAAAATGCAAGATTCTAGTGTTGCAGCCTCTGTGCAAATATTCTAATCCACGAGCAACACCAACTGCAATATGATACAAAGTTTTGCAATCCAATTGACGATCATTCTGCAGTGGATTTTTCTCTTCATATATAAACTTTTCAAGAGATCCATTAGACATGTATTCATATATCAGGGCTTTTTTAGAACCATTCAAACAGAATCCCAAAAGTCTAACAACATTGACATGTGAAGTTCTACTAATACTTGCAACTTCGTTAATGAAATCTTCACCTTCACCTTTTGATTCACTTAAAATCTTCACTGCAACAGGTTGCTCATCGTGTAATTTCCCTTTGTATACACTTCCATACCCTCCTTGGCCTAATTTGATTTTGAAAGAGTTTGTTATTTTTTTTATATCTGAATAACTGTACCTAGCAGCAGCAGGAAGAGGTCCATGTTCTTTCAAATACTCCTCAACAATATGATGGTTTGAATTTTCTTTCTTGAACAAAAGAAATGCTGGAGTGAAGTTCTTTGTCCTTATGAAATAAGCCAACAACGTCAGCACTGCAGCTCCAATAATTACTGATGCTGTTGGAGAATTGTAAATTATTTGAAATACAACAAAAATGTTTAGAGTAAGAAAGAAATTACTATTTTTTTTTTACAAAAAAGTAATGACTTTTACATAAATTACTATAAAATCATTGTTACATATTGATGAGCTTTCACATTCAAGGTGGATGAGTTTGAAGGCTGTTCAAAAATATAGTTAACTTAATTGTATATTTAAACTCAATTGTATTGCATAACTTAAATGGTTAATAAATTGAATTATTTAATTAAAACAATTCAAATTTAATTTAAAACCGGTTCACAATAAAACTTTTTTATAAATTATTTTAATTATATAAATTAATTAGATTTTAATAAAAAGAATAAAAAATTTATTAAGAGTAAAATAAATTTCTGAAAATAAATTTTTTTTGAAAAAATAAAAAAAAGTTCTAGAAAATAAAATATTTTCTAAAAAAAAACTAATATCGATTTTCTTCGATAAATTTTTGTTTTCGAAAATATGAAACATCGATATTTTAGCAAAAATTCGAAAAAAAATCTCTTTTTTTTCAGAAATACAGAAAATTAAGTTTTGCTCAAAAATATTAAAAAGTCAAGTTTTTTTCGGAAATATGAAAAAATTGAGTTTTTTTTTCGGAAATATAAAAAAATTGAGTTTTTTTTTTCCGGAAATATGAAAAAGTCGATTTTTTTCATAAATATGAAAAAGTCGAGTTTTTTTTTCGGAAAAACAAAGAATCAAGTTTTTTTGAAAATATGAAAAACTAGAGTTTTTTTCGAAAATATGAAAAAGTCAAAAAATTTTAGAAATATGAAAAAGTTGATTTTTTTTTTCAAAAATATGAAAAAATTAAGTTTTTTTTCGAAAATATGAAAAATTCGAGTTTTTTTTCGAAAATATTAGAAAATTGAGTTTTTTCGAAAATATAAAAATACGAAACATTGAATTTTACGGAAATACAATAAATCGATTTTTTTTTAAAATACGAAAAAATATCGAGTTTTTTCGGAAATACAAAAATAAATTTTTTTTCGCAAAAATGAAAAAATTGCATTTTTTTGAAAATATTAAAAAGTCGAGTTTTGTTTCGAAAATATAAAAAATTCGAATTTTTTAAAAATTTAAAAAAGTCGAGTTTTTTCCAAAAATATAATTGAATTTTTTTAAAAATACAAAAAATTGAGTTTATTGAAAACCCGGAAAATCGAATCAAAAATATGTGTGCTAAAAATTACTTTAATCGTGCATTACCTATACCCAGTTTGAGACGCCAATTCAGCCACTTTTTCTTTGTACCCGTTTCTGCAATAGAGAAAATATTTCAAATTTAACATATGAAAATAAAGTTGTGCAGAAAAAATATGGTTTGCAAATTTAGTGTTTCACAGACAAATAATAAACAATACGCCATTGAAACTCAGCAAAGAAGTGTGGTAAATGTTCAATTCAAAATATTAAAGATTACAAGTTACTACTGAGATTGGCCACACATATGCAGTGCAACTACTATTCCCCTAACTGACTCTGATTATGATATGAGATAAAGAATTGGTCTTGAGGAGTTTTACCGCAAAAGAAACAATGTTTCACAAAATTATGTGTCAAGAATAAAGGATGTATTTAAACGGAATGAGAAATGGAAATTTATCTGAAGCTTACCATAATGACAATAGAACTTATTGTTTGCATCAAGTCTACATTGGCCTCCTCTGTGGTTGCAGCACTCTTCACAATCAGCAGATAATACTATTTTAACAACCATCTGACCAGATACAAATGATAAGATGTTTTCGGTATCAGTCAAGTCTTTAGATGGAAACTGAAGTAGGGAGCAGGATGAAAAAATACTACGCGCTTTCTCTTTAGTAACATTGGAATACTGCTTTCTGTCATAATAGATATTGTAGGAAGAGCAGTTGTATTTAAAATAGTTTGAAGGGGGTTTTAAATTGTGGCTATTATTGCACTGGAAGAGAGTTACATTATTGTTTATATAAAAAGAAACCAAAGGAGAAGGAGAGGGAAGAGTGTAGTTGTGGTACAAAGTGTCACAAACATTATATTGCAAACGCTCGTAAAAATCTGGATCAGAAAGTGTAATGGTATTCTGGTCAATTACAGCAGTTAGCTCTGTGGGTTTTGCATTCTTCTCCAGTTGGATCCATTTGGGTGAATAATAACTGGCATCACAGCCAACTACGAGTATGAGGCCACAGTCTGGTTGTTCTGCCTTGGTGAAAGGGTAACTAAAATTCCCACCATTTCCACAAGTGAATGAGCGTGGACAGTTGTATTGGTGCTCACTTCCATACCCTGCTGATAAAATCAGCACGAGATGACAAAACAAGAGAAAGCGGAACAAATGGATTAGATCCATCCTAACTTTATTGACGTAATGAAGGTTAAGTACAAGTTGTTACATACCTTATATTAAGATATAGATATGTATTAGTCTTATGTATGTATCAAGTTGTGTCTAAAAGGAGAAGTTAATTAATACATTAATTGACTTGGAAAATGAAGGAGGAAGACTTGATGAAAAAGAGAGGTAGATTGTGTGAGATACAATTCAAAGTTACAAAGGTGTGGCTGGTGACCATGCCTTAATTATCCCATCAAAGAAGCTGGACCCACTGCTCTATATCCTCTATCATCGAAACAGCACATTCAGGGATTGACTCCTTCAACATTTAAGTTTTTCTAAGTTTTATTTTTGTTCCTACTTGGAACTTTCTGGGCACCCATTTTCAAAGAAAAATTATTAAACTCAAGTCATTGTAGGGATATATTCATCTCGCAAAAGAAATACATATAAGGCTTACTTAAGAAATTTAAGATGTATGATTGCAAGTCTGTCGCTACTTCACTCGTAACAAATAAGAAACTACAGAAGAATGATGGAGCACTAGAAACTGATGTTTCCATAAACAAAAGTCTAGTTGGAAGCCTCCTATATCTGACAGCTACACGGCCAAACATAATGTATGCTACAAGTCTTTTGTCAAGATTCATAAAAAGCCCAAGTCAAATACACTTTGGAGCAGAAAAACGAATTTTGAGGTATCTACAATGAACAAAAAAATTAGGTATATGATACACTACTGAAACTAACTCAGGATTACTTGGCTACACCGACATTGATTGAGCAGGTTTAATAGATGACATAAAGAGCACCTCTAGCTATACTTTCTCACTAGGATCTGGAATTTTCTCCTGGGCGTCGAAGAAACAAGTTACGGTTGCACAATCCACAGTAGAAATAGAGTATGTGGCAGCTGCTGAAGCAACGAGTCAAGTTATATGGCTTCGCAGGATACTTGAAGACATGGGAGAAAAATAGGACGTGCCTACTAAAATCAATTTCGATAACAAATCAGCAATTGCAATGGCGAAAATCCAGTACATCACAACATAACAAAACACATATTAATCATGTATCACTTTATCAGAGAAGCTGAAACAACTAAAGAGATAAAACTTTACTACTGCAAAACAAAAGATCAAATTGTAGACATATTTACGAAGGCGTTGCCGAGACCAAGATTTGAAGAGCTACGGGCTATGCTTGGAGTCATAGAAATTTGCATCAATGTTGAAATTACTACAAATTTCTAGAATATTCTTAAATATAATATATATGAAAATGGTAGAAGATTCTAGAATTATAAGTTTATGAATATGGTAGAACAATCTAGAACTATAAGTATATGAAAATGATAGAAGAACTTAGAGTTATCATGATACTCATCTATCATGAAAACTCTAGAAAGAACTAATGTAATGTAGAAATATTCACTATTATTAGGAAGTTGGTGAGTTAAGCCTATAAATAGAGATTTTTTTTTAAAATAACCAACTATTTCAAAATAAATACCAATTAAATGAGATTTTCAAAAAAAATTCCAAAACAACTACCCTTTAACTGTCAGTCGCCGTTTGAAATGGCGAAATAGGAAAATTTGGCTTTGTACAAAGTCGCCAATCGGTCTGGCGAATGAGGCTAAATGTGTTTGGGTTGTAACAGACTCGCCATTCAAATTTGGCGAAATAGGCCATTTTAGGGTTTCCTATTTTTCCTTTATTTTTTAATTTTGATTATGTTTTTAGTTTAATTGTAACTTTTAATAAATATTATTTAAGTTTATTCTTTTTAACTAAATATTAATAAACATTAAGTTTATTATTAAATTTATAAAGAATTTAAAAAATATTTTAATTATCTATTAAATACATTAAGTTTATTATTAAATTTATAAATATTTTAATGATCTATTAATAAATATTTGTCAGTAAATTATTTTAGTTTTTTTTTTTATAATGAATTGAAATTTAAATAACCTTAGAATAAAATAGAATTGTTAAAAATATTAAAATATATAAAATTACAATATAATAAAAATTACAACAACAAAAAAAAACTAATGGCCGGCTCTATCCAAGCAACCACCGGTGCCACACTGTGGAGGATGAGCGTTGCGTCGAGGTCTACGACGAGATTGTTGTGGTGTGTTGGGTCGTTGTGTGTTGAGTTGTTGGGACGACCCCGGTGCATCAAATAGATTTTGCATCATTTGACCCCAATAGCCGGGAGGTCCACTGTCAATGGCGCTGCCGTAGTCAAGCCCAATGTGTACATGGAATTGGGTTGATCTAGGTGTGTTGGTTGTTGTGGGGTGTGGTAGTCAAATAGTGGATTGTTGGAGGGATAGTTGGATGGGTAGTTGGAGGGGTAGTTGGATTGGTAGTTGGAGGGGGTAGGGTCAAATGAGTTGTCTGGGCTATAGTTGGAAAGGGTGGGCTCAAAAGACGTATCAGGGCTGTAATAGTATGGTGGTTGAGGTTGGTATTAGGTGGGTGGCATGTAAGGTTGTCTTTGTTGATAGGGGGTATTTGTTGGCATGTATGGGTTTTTGTAAGGCTGATTTTGGGCGTTGTCATAATGTTGTGGGTTTGACGAAGAATCGCGTTCCCTTGGGTCGGCCAAATAGGTTGGCTGAGACAGGAAAGACTGAGATGTCGTGACAGACCTAAACCAAGTCATATATTGAAGACTTGGCCTAGCCCCGTGAACAATACGGTCGGTTAAGACGTATTGCCTTCTTCTTTTCCAATGTATACGCAACTCCTTCGCAAACTCCTTCCAGTCACTCACACTCCATTGTGCGTCCACTCGCTTTTGATGCCACTGCCCCAAGTCCATCGGAGCATCTAGAATATCCTGATGCATTCCAAATTGTAAGTTCACACGGTCACTTTGGTGCATCTCCACCGTAGTGAACCTAATTAAGGGTGTCCTTGATGTCTACACAGCGGCATCGTCGGTGTTGGGCTGGTGGTCGAGACCCTCGTACGACATCCATACAAACTACAATAAATTTGGACAAATAAGTTAGACAAAGTTTGAGAGGTATATGCATATACATTAAAAAAAATTAATGGTAAATAACTTACATCATCTGTGAAGGTGGGAAAAACACTTAGAAGGGGGGGGTTGAATAAGGGTTTTTAAAATTATAAGACAATAAAACAACTCAAGATTTTTATCCTGGTTCGTTGAACTCAACTACTCCAGTCCACCTTATCAAAGATGATTTGCCTTTCTCAACAAGGACTTAATCCACTATGATCAAACAGATTACAGTGTAAACACTAAGAATAACTATCTTAGCCTTCTTAAGAAAATCTGACCACAACTTGGTCTTCTTAAGGAACCTTTTACAATCAAATGTAAATAAACAAGTGTTTTAGAATGCTTCTAAGTAAGTTGTATCACAACTGTGATTTACACTTAAGATTTAGAACAAAAGAAAACTATTCAATAAATGAAGTAATATTTTCAAGAGAGCTTTGAATAATTTTTCAGTATGTTGTAATATTGTTAATTCTTTCAAATAGCGTCAACTTGAGAATGTTGGTGAAGAGTTTTTTATATAGCCAAAGATTTCTAGGACATAGCCAACTTGGGAGACCGTGCACTGAAAAGTATCTATGGTCTTTTGTCTTCTTCTGAGCTTGACCTTTCCTAAGAATAGAATGTTCAGAGAAATCCTTTTTGTCTGTGATCTTGTGTCTATCACAAAAGAGGAAAGAGTTGTTGGGAGAAATGCCAACGAATATATCTTTGAAATAAATCTTCTTTCTCACAGTTACTCACATCAGAGTTTTGAATAATCAGAGTCATTGATGTATCAGAGTTTTGGCTGGATCAGAGTGTGGCAGCCAGATGTGCTTCAGCGTGTAAATTATTCAGAGCAAAGTCTTGAGATCAGATCTTCTGTACTTGCAGCGAACAGTACATTCAGAGTCTTCTGATAAACAATGCTTGAAGCTCTTCATTCAAAGTCTTGTATCTATGCTTCATATGCTTCTGCTTTAGATTCTTCTAACAGCACTCAGAATCTTCTGAAGACATGCTTATGATGCTTCAGCTTCAGAGACTTCTGACATCGCTCAGAATGTTCTGATATCATGCTTCTGATGCTTCTGATGCTTAGCATAGATAGCGTTCAAATGTATTTTGCTTCCTTCAGAGTATTTAGAATAAATTCTGAAACAAAAATACTAGAATAAAATTAGAGTATATATTTTCCTCATACAAAATTTATTAGTGTTATCATCAAAACATAGAGATATAATTAAACACCAATTTGTGTTCTAACAATCTCCCCCTTTTTGATGATGACAAAAACATATGAGATTTTGTTTGAAAAAGAGATAAATATAACTCCCCCTGAGATTATGAATCTCCCCCTGAATTGAATACTTAGAAGGAATGGAAAACTTCCCTTTTTGCAAGAGTATTCTTTTCAGAATCAGGTCTTGATTAGGATGAGCGTTTTAGAGTTAGAGCCTGATTGAATAAAATTAGATCTGGGGATCTCAGAGTTACTTAAGTGAATTTTGTCAGATGATACAATAGAGTTCCGAAACACTAAAATTCAATGTTAGATAAAATTTATTATGTCTGGAATTCATTTAGGTGGCTATTTAAATGAACATTCAGAGTTTCATTTTCTCCCCCTTTTTGTCATAATCAAAAAGAAAATTATTTTAAGACAAAAATAACAGAATCAGAGAGAAAACATATCATCAGAAAAACATTCAGATTCAAAATATCAAAAATATTCAAAATATCCAGATAATAAGCATAACAGACAACAGATGCAAATTTGTGCTCAAACATCAGATAAACAGAAATAACACTAAGTATGCTTAGACAACAATTGCTTCAGAAGATTGGTTATTTCAGATGAAGATTCCTCTTACTTTGTCATCCACTTCTGAATGTTGTCAGTCTTCTCGTCTTGTTTAGCCATCCATGACTTAATTTCAGATTGGCCAGCCTCTAGCACATCAATCTTGTCAGCTAATTCTGGG